GGCGGCGGCGGCGGCGGTGGCGGCGGCGTCCTCCGCATCGTTCGCCGCAGCGTAACCGGGAGCCCTTTACTCTTTGCAGAATGGCCCGCTTCGGAGACGAGATGCCGGCCCGCTACGGGGGAGGAGGCTCCGGGGCAGCCGCCGGGGTGGTCGTGGGCGCCGGAGGCGGGCGAGGAGCCGGGGGCAGCCGGCAGGGCGGGCAGCCCGGGGCGCAAAGGATGTACAAGCAGTCAATGGCCCAGAGAGCGCGGACCATGGCCCTCTACAACCCCATCCCCGTCCGACAGAACTGCCTCACGGTCAACCGGTCTCTATTCCTCTTCAGCGAGGACAACGTGGTGAGAAAATACGCCAAAAAGATCACCGAATGGCCATATCCTTTGCCCGAACCCCGGCACCTGCACCTGCCCCTCCACCCTCCACCCTCCGCCTCCTCTTCCAGGCTGGAGAGAGACCCGGGGCTTGATGGGAGGTGGGGGGGGGTCTTCCAGGGCCTGGGACAGGGGGCACCGGGGAGGAGTGTGCAGGATCTCTCCACCCCGAGCTGGGTTGAGCTACCGTGGAGGCTCGGGGGTGGGGGGAGAGCGGATCCCTCGTAAGGACCGATTCCAGGATGAGGGCTGGGCCCTGGGGTCGTACAGGGGCCTGGGTGGGGGCTTTGGAGGCAGTTCCGGAGGGGTCAGAGTTCTCCCGAATGAGCTTAGACCTGGCTGGGGCCTGGGCGCTTCTGGCCAGGTCAGGGGAGCCACGGGGGCCTTGGCTGGGCTGCCGTGGCCGCCCCTCAGCAGAATCTATGGGAGCCTCCAAGCCTAGTCCGAGCTGGGCGGCCTCTCCCTGCCTGCCCCAAGGTGGGGGCTGCACTTTTAGGGCAGGGCGCTTGGGGGCTCTCAGAGTAGGAGACCATGTGGCCTCCACACTGAGAAGCCAGCACTGGCCAGAGTTAATACCCCAGGGTGGGCCGCCGGCCCCATCTGGGGAGGAGAGTGCTGGGATGAGGGGGAGGGCTATTTTTCCCCATGTCTGTAGATCTCATCTCCTTAAGCTAGGGATCAGGGACTTCATCATCTTCTGGGGTGTAGAGATACGTATCCCATTTGCCTTATCTGAGCCCCTGGCCTGGGAAGACCCAATCTGGGCTATTTCAGTAAGAAAGAGCAAGGGAAAACGAGGTGGTGGGCCCTTCCTAGGGAGCCCTATCCAGCCTTGGGTTGGATTCAGCTACTTCCACCCTAAGGAGCTGGGAGGAGGGGATGCCTGGAGAATCAGCCTCTGTGTGGACATCTTGGGCAGGTAAACGCCTTTATACATATATTGAGGAACCAGAGGAAAAGGTGGAGACCACATTTTCCTCTACTAAGATGCTATCAAACTGCAGATCCGCTTGTGTTTCCTTAAATCTGTGCCTGCTTGAAATAAACCCTGAGGAGGGCTTAACATTCATTGAGATGTAGGCAGGCAAGGGTCGGTAATTAGTCGGGCTTTCTAGCAGTTATCTAAGCATGACCCAGATTCCAAGTGGGGGGACACACCCCAGGCTGGCCGGCCACCATGCCGTGCCCAAATGTGCTGCCCCTTGGCACGGTTCCAACCAGTTGCCCTCAGTGTAAAATGAACAGGCTGGATGGGTCCCTGGGGCTCAACAATGAACCCTCATCCCTTTTTTGTATGGTTTGAACTGTCAATAAGACTGGGCCCTTTGTGGTCCCAGGGTTGCTATTTTGAGGAGTGTGGTAGTGGGTGGATTTACTTTTAGGGGGCTCAAAATCACACCAGGCCCTTGCCTTCTGGGTCCTGAAATTGTAGCAGGGCGCGCTTAGGTTTTGGAGTGTGTGAATGCTCTACTTTGAAGGTGGTGAAAATTAAGAGGTTCAGCAGAGGTCTTTTGGGGGGAGCATACCCCAAACCACAGTGTCATCTCCATTGATGTCCAAGGCAGGAGCCAGGTCTTTGCCTCCTAAGTTCCAACTTCATGAAGGAGCTGGTCCTGAAGGTTAGAAATTCCTCTCCACTAGAGGCCCATTGAAGTGCTCAGGGGTCATGTGATTACTCTGTCCGTGAACAGTGAGTGGTGGGGGTCTTGGAGGATGTGGAGGCATCAGTGCGTGCACACTCAGATAGCTCCAGGGGGTGCCCAGGGCTTTTGATCGCCTGAATTTGGAGTCTTCTGAAAGGAAAGGAAGGAGGTGGAGAGTCCTGTTATGTCCTTAGCTCACCTCTGTCCAGCCTGAATCCTGCAGATCAGAGGGCTGTTGGCGAGGGAGGGGATTGCAGTGGCCCCTTAGGAGACGGAATCACGGGGAGTGGTGCAGGTGAATGGAGAGCACTGGTTGGTGCTTCAGCTTTTCTTTGGCTAGCTCGCTTAAGGCAATCTTGCTCTTGGTAGCTTTGTGATGAGTTTGTGCATTTTGCTCTCTGCAGAGTTTTTGTTCTCTATTTGGCCCGAGGTAGCAAACACATTATACAGCCCTACTCTGGAAGGGAAAAATCCCCACCCCCTAATCTGTCACCAAGCTGGGTCATCCTGGACTGAGCTTTCTCTGGAAGGGATGGAAAGGGGATGGACAGAGACTTGGGTGTGTGTTGGGGGGAAGGGCAGTGGAGGGGAGGGCTATTTAAGATAATTGAGTCCAGCGTAAGGAGATAGACTGTGTAAAAATGCCAAGGAACCAGGATACCAGGGCAGAACATTGAGTTTTATTATTATTATTATTCAAATACTTCTGCCATTAAAGAAAATTGTTTAAGTACGTATTCTGAACTTTCATGTATACGCAAAAATACACAAGTCAGATCCAGCTTCATAAATTTTCGCAAAGCGAACACACCCAGGCAACAAGCACCCAAGTCAAGAAACAACATAACAGCACCCCCTCCCTGAGAAAACCCCCTCATACCTCTCCCTGATTATTTCCCCCACTCAAGGGTAACTGCTGTCCTGACTTCTAACCCCACAGATTCATTCTGCCTCCTTTTGAACTTCATACAAATGGAATCCCACAGTATGTTCTTTTGCATCTGGCTTCTTTTGTTAGTGTCTATGAGATTCATCCACATTGCTGCAGGTAATTGTGGGTCATTCCTTCTCATTGCTCTGTAGTGTTTTATTGTGCGGCTTCCACCATCTACTTACTCATTCTACTGTGGATGGGCATTTGGGTAGTTTCCAGTTGTGCTGTTAGGAACATTCTTGCACATGTCTTCTGTTGAATCATTTTTCTGCATTTTCCTTGGATCTATACCTAGGAGTGGAATCGCCCCGCCACTTTTTGATGTGTGTGTGTAGTAGGACGTGTATTTGGAAATGGCATTTACTAAGGGTTGCAGGACAATATGGAAAGCAGGTTTCTCACTGTCTTGTGGAGGAGGAGTGAATGAATGTTTCATGAACTTGGCTTTATGCTCGTAGGGCCTAAGAATGTTACTTCCAAGTGCAAATTCCGGCATGGTGCACTGGTGGAGGGTGCAGACTTGCCTCCCCACACTCAGGGGCAATTTACCACTGTGATTCTTTCTTCTGTCCCCCAGCAGCTCAAGCTTGAAGTCAGCAATGAGATTTAAAGGTTCTTACTCGTTTTATTTTTCTCTTCCTAATAAGAAAACCCAAATGGAAGTCTTTGATGTTCAGATTTACATTGCTGCCTTTTTCTCTTCGAGTATGCCAGCAGCTAGACATCGTGACCACACAGCTGGGTTCCATGTTTTTCATTGATTGGAAGTGTGATTTAAATATGGCTGTGCTCAGATCTGTCAGCTCAGTAAGGTGTATCTGTCAACCTTCCTAGAGCCCCCCAACTTAATGTCACTCACTCCTTCTGATGTGCCACCAAGTGCCAATGTGAATGTCATCTTTTTAGCCCTCCCCATACCAGCAGGTCTCCCACTGAACATGGTGTAGAAATTTGGGCGATTGCAAGAGCTGTGGACTCAGGTCTGCATATTACCATTCTCGGTCTCCAGAATCACACACAGGATTCCAGTTTTTCATCCATGGTTGCAGGGATCTCAACAAGAAGCCAGAGTCACACTGACATCAGGTAACCTATGGACATTGGCTGATTGGCACTATTCCCTTTTTTTTTTTTTTAAGGAAAGGCTCTTTGTAGAGAAACAGTCTGCATGGGAATCAGAGGGAGCTCTGAGAGATGTGGGAGCACGTTATCAGGCTCTTGGCCTGCCCTGAAAAGTAGTATGTTCTAGAAGGTACTACTGTCAAGAGCAGGATGGTATAAACCATATGATCCTTCTCCTAAATCATCTTGGCTGGTATTTCCAGAAAAGCAAAATTCTGGGAAGTAAGAATTAGCATGGCCTTTCCATTGGAAGTTTTTTTCAATAAGGGTGCAATCCTTCTTCCACGATTCCAAAATCCAAAAGGCTCTGAAAACCAAAAGATGAGCTCATTGAGAAGACAAACCTAACCTGAACTGACTGGAGTTTATAGTTTTAGTTTATGGTTTTAATTTATCCCAGTTGGTGTGCATTTTGGTATGTTTTGTCACAGAAATGTTAGATATGCTTAAGGCATGCTGCTCCAACCTCCCACAGGGAGTGTTATGTGTATGTTGTAGTGTTTCTTAAACTTTCGTGTGTGGGGGGATTGTCTTGTGAAAATGAAGGTTCTTGTCCGACAGGTTTGGGGTGGGACCCAGGATGGTGTTTTTCCAACCAGCTTCTGGGGAGTCCCCATACTGCTAGTCGGTGGGCTGTGCTTACCTACACGTCCTGCTACCTTTTTTCTTCTCCTTAAAGATCACGTTTGTTGAGGTATAATTTATTTATAGCAAAATCCACCCTTTTTACATACTGTTATGAGTTTTGACAAATGCATGCAGTTTGTAGGCAAAACCAAGACATGGAACAATTTTGTCACCCCAAAACATCCCCTGGTGCCTCTCTGAGTCAGCATCCCACTCCCCCAGCCTCTTGCAATCACTGATCAGTTCTCCATCTCTATAGTGTTGCTTTTTTTCAGAAGGTCGTATAAATAGAATCACGCAGAATGTGGCCTTTTGAGTCTGGCTTCTTTCACTCAGCCTTTGAAATTCATTCATGTTGTTGTATATCAGTAGCTCTTCCTTTTTAGTGCTGAGTATTATTCCATGGTATGGATGGACCAGGATTTGTTCACCCATTTTCCAGACAAAGGATTTTTGGGATATTTCCATGTGGGATGATTATGAATAGAGCTGCTATAAACATTGGTGAATGGGGTTTAATGGGAACATTGGGGATATACATTTCATTTCTCTTGGGTAAATAAATACCCAGGCATGGGATTGCTGAGTTGTGTGGTAGGTGTGTGTTTAACTTTATAAGAGATGGCCAAACTGTTTTCCAAACTGGTTGTGCCATTTGATATTCCCACCTTTGTTATTTTTCTAAAAGCCCCAAGTTCTAAACTCCAAAGCACATCTGGCCTTGCGGCTTTAGGATTAGGGATATGGATTTGCAGAAAGTGATGGATTAGCAGCG